CGTAGTATGATCATTATAAAAAACTTTTTTTGTAGAGACTTAGATCAAGGGAAAATGAACATAAATGTTATCAATTCCCATTTAATAAATACTATATTTTTGACTACCTTGCATTTTGTTTGATGTATTTTAGGTAGTGTGAGCTTTCATATCCCCTCTCGTAGGCAAATATCAACTCATGTTTCGTTCTCCTAACCTTTCAACTCTTTCTTATCCAGTTTAGTAATAACCCTTCCTTTTTCATCTTTCAAAACATAGAAGATGGAAAGAACTACAATCTAGTGATGTATGTTAAATCAGCAGAATGTGCCGAATTGGCAATTTCACTAGCAAGCTCAGATGGGTTGCAGAAGTTGGCTTCACTTACTGTAGTGTTAGTATCATTTTTCTCAATATTTGATCATGACATGGACGATAATATTTCCTTTGGCTTAAAGGGTTTTGTTTTTTAGAGTTGTTGGCACTTCCGACTGGAGAAAAGTGGAGCGAAAATTGACCGCTAAAGAAACAAACACAATCTCAAGACTTCAGGTAACATCTAACAAGAACGAAGTTGTATGGTTTGATCAAGTATCACCATTGCCTTCAAACACATCCAGAGGATAAAATTATACATTAATACTCTTCATATTGATAATGACAAGAACTAAATGCAGGTAGAGATCCAAGGCTTTAGAATACTGAACTATACATCAATTGAAGAGCAAAACTATGAACACAAGCATTGTTGCCGGAAGCATGATGGGTTTCATGGGTCTAGACGTAAGTCATAATAATATTGACAAGCCAGAGAAAATGATTTTCCATGATATACGTGATCAGAACTGTTACAATAGATTAAGATCTCAGCTTGAGAATCTAATATATGATGATGCATATACACGGATATATACGGACACAGTTAGCTCTAACCAACTAACTAACATGACTTGATTGTTCAACTTTCTCCTACAAACTCAGCATGTGCAAAGGTTGGGGGGGGGGGGCATTGCCCCCTGCCTCCCCCTAGCCATAGTATAATCATTGAAAAACTTCTTTGTAGAGGTTAGATCAAGGGAAGATGAACGTAAGCATTATCAGTTCCCGTTTAAGAATTATTATTATTGACTTCCTTGCATTTTGCTTGATGTATTTTAGGTAGTGTCAGCTTTCATATCCCCTCGCAGGCAAATATCAATTGCATGTTTCCTTCTCCTAGCCTTTCAACTCTTTCTTATCCAGTTTACTAATGACCCTTCCCTTTTCATCTTTCAGAACGTAGAAGATAGAAAGACCTCCAATCTCGTGATGTATGTTAAATCAACAGAAGGTGCCGAACTGACAGTTTCACTAGCAAGCTCTGATGTGTAGCATAAGTTGGCTTCACTTAGTCTAGTGTTAGTATAATTTTTCAAAATATTTGGTCATGACAAGGACGAAAATATTTCCATTGGCTTAAAGGATTTGTTGTTTCAGAGTTGCAGGCACTTCTAACTGGACAAAAGTGGAGCAAAAATTGGCCGCTAATGAAATAAAAAGAAACTCAAGACATTAGAAAACTTTTAACAAGAAGCGAATTGTATGGTTTGATCAAGTATCACTATTTCCTTCATAAACGATTCTGGGGATAAAATTATACATTAATATTCCTGGTATTGATATTGACAAGAGCTAAAAACAGGTAGAGATCCAAGGCTTTAGAATACTAAACTATACATCAGTTGAAGAGCAAAAATGTAAACACAAGCACTATTGCGGGAAGCATGATGGGTTTCATGGGTCTAGCATAATAATTGACAAGTCAAAGACAATGATTTGTCGTGTAATCCCCGAGGGGTTCTCCGTATATTTACGACGAGGAAGCAATACATGGTCATGACTGATACAATAGATTACAAGATCTCAACTATATGGACACAGATAGCTCTAACTTACTAACTAATTTGACTCGATTTTTTAACATTCCCCTGCAAACTCAGCATGTGCAAATGTTGAGGGGGTGGCATTGCCCCTGCCTCTCCCTAGCCGTAGTATAATCATTGAAAAAACTTTTTTGTAGAGGCTTAGACCATGGGAAGATGAACATAAGTATTATCGATTCCTGTTTAACAATTATTATTTTGGCTTCCTTGTGTTTTGTTTGATATAGTTTAGGTAGTTTGAGCTTCAATATCCCCTCACAAGCAAATATCAACTGCATGTTTTGTTCTCCTAACCTTTCGACTCTTTATTATCTTGTTTAGTAATAACTTCAGGCTTTTCATTTTTCAGAACATAGAAGATGGAAAGACCTACAATCTAGTTATTTATGTTAATCAGCGGTAGCTGTAGAATTGATAACTGCACTAGCAAGCTCTAATGGGTCGCAGAAGCTAGCTTGAGTTACTTGTATTGTTGGTATCATCTTTCTAAATATATTTTTCAGGTTGATGACAATATTTCCATTAGTTTAAAGGATTTTGTTGTTTTAGAGTTCTTGGCAATTCCAAGTGGACAAAAGTGGAGCAAAAATTGATTGCTAAAGGAACAAACTAAACTTCAAAACTTCAGATAGCATCTAAAAAGAAGGGATTTAATGGTTTGATCAAGAATCACTATTGCTTTCAGACACGCTCAGGGATAAAATTATACATTAATATTCTTGATATTGATACTGAGAAGAGCTAAAAGAAGGTAGAGATCCAAGGCTTTAGAATACTGAACTATACATCAATTGAAGAGCAAAATTTTGAACACAAGCACTAACATAATGTAGAATATTTCACCTAGCATTAGGAAAAATATTTTGCTGCTAGAAGTATGATGGGTATCATGGGTCTAGACAGATGTCATAATAATATTGACAAGTCAGAGACAATGATTTGCCATGATAATCCTAGAGGGGATCTCAGTGTATTTATAGTAATGAAGCGATACATGATCACAACTGTTATAATGGATGACAAGTGTAGGATCGAGAGTATATTGACGAGGTCCTGTATCAGGGGTGGCTAACGCCAAGGAGCCCGGCCTCATCAACCACAAGGAGGCCTACGGGCCCACGACGTAGCGCCAACGCTGAGGGGCCAGATGACCTTCTTGACACCCAAGACTAGAGGGCGGCGACGCCCCCATATCGCATCCAACATATGAACCCCAAGACCTCTCTTGTCTATATAAAGGGAGGTCTAGGGTTCCTCTTGATCATCTTGTTAGGAATATGCAACTTATATTCCCATGAGGCAAGTGACATGGTTAAGACCATATTTCAGAACAATTGCCTTCTTGGCCTCACGGTTTTCCCCTTAGCCTCAGCATGGGCCCTCTTCAGAAGCCCTCTTAGCCGCCTTGTCCTCAAGGCGGTACTTGAGAGGCATCTTAAACAGGTTCGTGGCTGCAACAAGCGATTCATATCAGAGATTTGTAACAATGTTTTTGCAGAAACTAATATGAATTCAACTTAAACAGTCAACTACTTATTGGCTGATTTTCTTGCTGACCCTTTCCATGTTGTACCCATGACTTAACCAACCATCTAAGCAAGGAACTTCTTTATATTATTGGTCGCCGCCACCGAAATAACAACCAATGTTTTAGCATGTCATTTATTTACCAAGCAAAACCACAACAGCTTAATCACCCAAGAGCAGGAGCGTAACATAGTTTTCAACTGGCAGTGATTTTCCCGCTACCGCAAGCCTCTGCCTATAGCTTTAAACTGAACCAACAAGTTATCATGTCATTTATTTACGAAGTAATGCTTAGAAGACTAATTTCCCGAGGGCAAGAATCCAATATACTTTCAGAATGTCATTTTAGATTATCTTTTCTAGTACCAATTCTGAACACAGCACAACAGTTTAGCTCCTACTCCCTCTGTTCCTAAATATAAGTCTTTATAGAGATTTCATGAAATCTCTACAAAGACTTATATTTAGGAACAGAGGGAGTATTATTTAAGCTCACAGTATTTAAACCGAGAATTGCTCGCATGTCATGATTTATTTATTTTTTGTAGTCGTAATCCCAGTAGTACGCATTTAGGAATATCATAGTTAAAGCTAAAGAGGAATCGTCCTAGCATAATTTACATTTCAGAAGCTTACAGCAATAATGCAAATACAGATGGTTGAGACATAATTTTGTAGCAAAACACATGTCAGAGATACAATAGATTACATGTGAAGGCGCCCAGTTAAAATTATGTCTCAACCATATGAATCTCAACACCAAATAACAATTGGAATCTGGACTGATAGGTCGCTTCCCCCATTTGATTTTTGCCTGACATACAAACATAAAACTAACTAATTCATTCTTTATTTCCAAAGAAGAGGTGATATAACCAGGTACACATGAGATCAAACAATTCTCCTTCAGCAACACGTGAGATCTAACCAGGTACTAAAGAATCAGTACACAAGCTAATTGTCACTGAGCACTTGACTGGCTTTAGCAAGCTTGCTGTTTAATCCAAATATCACCTCTACATAATGTGGTTGTGGAAATACAATTATCATCTCACCTTCATCTTTTCCTCACCAGTAAAGGTCATCATTTGTTGAACCTGGCAAATGCTTCTTTTTTTCTTCTTCTAAATTTCAGGTCTGAACACCAAATCCGATTCTCCAATGTTAATCTGCAAGCAAATCATTATAGTTTTCACAGAAGCGACATGGAATTAATTACACGGAAAATTTGGATATGCGGCAGTAATTAAGTGAAGAAAGCAAACAAATTTTTTAACCAAATTCTTGCCACAATAGCACTCAGGAAACCAACCAGACCGAGGGATCTATCAGAATATGAACCAACATGTTGTCACTCCATACCATACCATTGAAAAGCATCAATAAGGTGTGGTTTGATTTGGACTTTTAGAAACAGTAGATTACCACCAAAAAGTACAGACATACATATACAACATGAACATGGGTACGCGGCAAAAGTTAGGAGTTCAGCACATTACAAAGGTACAACACTACTAGAAATATACTCGTACAAATGAACATGTGTTAAAAGTTTGAATTTGCAAGTAAGAGCCTGGGACATATTATGAGTGGGAACTGCCATCGGCATTGTTCTTCTTCTTATGGTGGAACATTCCTGTGATGCTGGGCAGCATGAAGCTCTTCCGCAATACAGCTTTGCTGTTCTTCTGATGACCGTTGCTCTTCTCATTGGCTTTTGCGGCAGAAGCCTTGTGAGATGGAACGTCTGCCAGTGATGTCGCTCCCACCGGAGGCACGTAGGTCTCGGCGTTTTTGTTTTGTTCTTCCTTCTCTCGCCACCTCTTGAGCTCACTTTCGACCGCCTTGTTTGCTGCTTCTGCTGTCTCTGCCTTCTTTAGCGCCTCCTCTGTTGCCAGTTCCATGTCCTCCATCTCCTTGCGGGCAGCTTCCAGTTTCTTGATCGCCTCATTCTCGCTGGCTCTAACAGCGTCCACCTGGGCCATAGCAGCCGCGACCTTCATCTCTGCCAGCTTCTCCGTCTGCTCTACCTTTCGGCTTAGAGATTCGAACTCCTCCTTTGAGATCGTGATGTTTGCACCTGGCTCGGATATTGAGGCGCGGACAGCACTTGCCTTTTCTGATAGTTGCTTGATCTGATCAAGAGCCCTTGTTTCAGCAGCTTTTGCTACTTCTGCTTCCTTCAAAGAGGACTGCAACTTTTGCTCTGCTTCCACTAATGAAGCACGTGCTGCTTCAGCTTCTTCTCTTAACTCGGCTGCACGCTTTTGCATCACCTCAGCTTCCTGAAGAGCATTTTTTGACTCAGAAGACAACTGCTCGAGGGCCAACATCAGGTCATCAGAAGCTAATGTTGCATCTGATTCTGTGGCTACTGCAGTCTCAAGATCAGATTTACACTTCTGGAGCTTAACATGGAGGTCCCCTACAATAGATTCAATTTCTGCATCCTTATGTTTCAGCTGACTGTGTTCCTCCTTTACAGCCTGTAACTCCAGCCTCAACGATTCAACTAAACTGCTAAGAGAAGTTTGCTCTTGTGCAACTTTCTGCAACGTTTCTTTAGCATCATCCAACTCTGTGCTGACAGCAGAAACAGACTCCAAATCTCTATCTCTTGCATCTTCGATCTTCTTCTGCAAAGATGCAATCTCAGAATAAGTCTCATCGAGTTTCTCTTGGAGACCCTTGAAAGCTACAGGATCAAAATCATTTCTCAAATTTGACAATTTTCTCTGAGCTTCTTCCAGAGATTCTTTACAGGTTCTCCTGGCAACATCCTTCTCAGCAAGGATGTTTGCCTCCTCTTCACGTGCTTGCTCTGTGGCTGCCTTAGCATGCATAAGTGACTCTTGAACCATTGCAATCTCGGTACGGAGTTGAGATGCCTTTTCCTTGTTTGATTCAGAAGACTGCACAGACTCTGCTTCCTGCTGGGCAGCAAGTAACTTAGCATCCAGTGAGGTTTCAAAATCCTTTCTCATTTTTCTAAGCTCCTGCTTTGCTGCATCAAGATCTGCCAAAGCAATAGCATACTGTTCCCTCGCATTGTCTAGCTCCTGCTTCAAAGGACCATCCTTCCCAACGGCTTCACTAGAGCTGCCACCTTCGAGCTCCTTCGTTCGAATATTTGCATTTTCTGTTACCCGGATATTCAGTTCTTTTGACTTGTTGACTGCATCAAGCTTATTTGTTAGATCCACAACGCTTTTTTTAGCCCTCTCCAGCTCAGAGAGGGCTTGGAGTCTGGTAGTCTCAGCATTACTCAGTTGTTCCTTGTATTTATCCAACTCTTTCTGAGCCAAGTGCAGTTCTGTCTCCTTAGCCAACACCCTCTACCACAGACAAAATTTAAATATACAAAGGATCAGCATAATAATATGGTACCAAAATACAAGCTAAATCCAAGTGAACTAAAACTGATTGATCCTACAAGGGTTATGTACCATCATGTGTAATACAGAAAGCAAGATACGTGAGAACCCTCCTACAGTGGAGACGACTTCCTCTGCTGGTGGAAGCGCCATGGGCTCCACCCTAACCGTCCTAAGCAGGGGGGGGCCTGTCGTCGTTGATTATGCTCACAGCATGGTGCAGCTTAGTGGATCTGGAAGCAGCGCAACACTGCCGTCTAAAATGGGGAAAGGCCATTGCCTTGCTGCTTGACACCATCTGCGTGGAAGCATGTCTGTGGGCTAAAGCATGAGCGATTGCCCTTCAGGTGTCACTGCCGGCTGTGATTAGCGCTAGGGACGTGTGCGTTGTGGTTGTACTTGGTCCACTCTTAGGCTTGCAAAAAACTTTTTCTTCTATCAAATGCATCGAGACCAAAATTCTCTACCAAGATACTAAACTTTGTGCTTTACTAAGATAAAGGATGTGTCGATAGGATAAATAATTTTCAGGTACAACTAAAGGTTTCATGGCACATCATGTCTAGTACAGAAGTTTCTCTTAAGACAAACTGTGACAGCTGCCAAAAATGTCCAAACATACCACAGATATTAGTAATCAAGAACAAAAGACAGTTTCTACAAATACAATATTCTGATATACATGTAAAATCACTTTCCCTTGTGTCTAAAAGTGGATGTTGCAACCTCTATAATAGCTGAGTGCTTTCTGAAACTGAACTACAGGCAATAATCTATAAACGTTTATGCAAATGTCAAATGAACATTGGGAAGGCGACAAAAGAAAAGTAAACGGTACGCTACAATCTGATGACTTCACTGTTGATACAGAGTATGATCTACACATCTGATCACAGAAACCCCTATTTATGCTTAGGTTGGCAATTCAAGCACTAATATAGCTTTTCATCAATGATACCCGCACTCGATTATTATTCTTAGATAGCTGCAGTTGCACACAATGTATACAAAAAATTCTGCATGCAGGCCTATCATATAATTACGTATTAAAGCCACAATTTTCTGCTAAAAAATAGTACCTCTGCTTGTGGGGCCTGTGCCTTTCTGGTGGCGGATCTTTCAGAGGAAAACCGGACCTCGCCAAACAAACTTACTGCAGCTTTAACAGATTCAAAAGGAGCCCTTGTATCTATTTCTCCAATCTCCGTCTTTTCTGAATCAGCGTGTGGTGTCCCCATAATCCCGTTGCCACAATAATGTATGCAGCCTGTGACAGAAAATAATTGCAGTTACATCAAGTTATATGCAATAAAATGGATCTGTTTTACAAAGGGGTCCAGTAGATTCTCTGATGACCAGAAATAACCTATGATCTAGCAGCTAAATACAGTGCTGATGATTAGTTTTACGATATTCAAGGGATTAAAAACCCTAAGTATGTTTATGAGGTTACTGAATTTGTCAACAATCTCATTGGAAACAACCACAGCTTTCCTAAAAATAAACCACAGTACATTTATCCCTTTTTTCTTAGATCAACCCCATTGATCACACTCCCTGCACTAGCAATTTCATTACCAAAACACCATTGCTCCCTGATATGTAACTCTTATACAACACCATCTGCCCTCTTAATCTCTTATTCCCCCTACCACACTGTCTCCAGCCCCCTCGTTCGCCTCCACTTGATATAATGCTCATTAAAATCATGAGCTGATAAATGTGATCCAGCTTTTTGCAATGCTGAATACCACCAAATAGTAAAGGGTTGCAGCAATAAGTTCAAAGCGATACTTTCGCCATCCATGACAAAGGTTCTCATCAGACACTAAAATAGATACCAGGTTCCTAAACTACAATGATGGTAACAAGGAATCAGCAACAGAAATGTGGCCGTCAATTCCCCAGATAAATTATTACCCAAATTATTAAAACAGAGAATCCAGCAAAAATGCATATGCAGCCTGCACCTTGAGCTAGTAGTCCAGAAATTTCTCGTGAACACTAAACCATACAACATGCTAGGTATGTTCCTCAAAATTTGTCGCGAATCCAGCAAATTCACAAAAATAATACTACGATAATTTCCTCGAGGACGTCGCTAGGTAATTGCAGGCTCGCCGCTACACAACAAACCAATCGTCGCGATCCAGCACGTAGCTGCCACAAAATTCACGGCCGTGTGTGTATTTCCGCCACGCCCACCACGCGACGACGATCAGGTGATGGGAGAAAAAGTATTGAAGCGAGAGGATTGGCCAATGCAGGAGGAAGGGTACCTGACGCGGCGGTGGCGGTCGGAGGAGCGGTCTGACCAAATTCGAAGAGGGTGCGGCGCTGGAGGTCCTGCTGCGCCGAGGCCGAGGACGAGGAAGATGGTGCCAGCCGGCCGGAGAGCGAGGTGGCGGTGGCGCGGAGGGGGGAGAAGAGATCAGGTCGTCGTCGGAGGGGAGAGACGACGGGAGCGAGGGAATGGAGGAAAGGAGAAAGGTGGGTGGTGCGGTGGCGGGTTTCACGGGGCGTCCGCTCCTGTCTTGATATATTGCAAGGAAGCCCCTACGGCGGCTCTGCTTTCCAAGGGGCCCTCTCCTAATTTACGACGTGCAATATGACATAGGCGCAACTGGGCTGGGCCTCACGAAACTGAATGCACGCTCAGTTTCTCAGATCTTATTCCGCGCCTTAAGCGCCAGTTATTGAGCTTTCATTAACTGGCGCACACTCTCCCAGCACTAGCTGACGAATAGGCCGGCCCATGTAGAGTTTTTTTTCCACTGTTTTTTTCCACGCGGTTTTCCTGGGCCTTTTTTCTAGCGGTTTTTCCTGAAAACGCGTTTTACTCGTTTTTTCTATTTTTCTATTTTTCTTTCTTTTTCCTTTTTAGTTTTTATTTTATTTTTTCTTTTCAAATGCGTGAAGTTTCTTCAAATTCAAAACTTTTTTGCAAATCTGTGAAATTTTTCGAATTTTCGCGAATTTTTTATAATTTTATAAACTTTCCATTTTGCAAACTTTTCAAAATTACGTAGTTTTTTAAATAGTGAAAAATCAAATTCATGATTGTTTTCAAAATTTATATTTTTCTACTTTTTGTTAGAAAATCAAATCCCTGTAATTATTTCTAGTTTTTTTGATTTTTTTTCAAATTACGATCTTTTTCCAAATATTTTTGAACTTTTTTGTTAGATTCATGAACTTTTTTTCAATTTATAAACTCCAAGGCTTGAACTTTTTTCAAATTCATGAATTTTCTCAAACTTGAGAAAAAATCCAACTTTGTAGAACTTTTAAAAATATATATTTTTTTCACTTTTTATGAACATTTTCCTTTTACAAAATTGTCAATGGTCTACGTTTCTTAGTCAACGGTCTACTTTCTTAGTCAACGATCGATGGTCCACCAGTTAAACAATCTTTTAAAATGCATATGGACAGGCCGAAATACTCGCGCATGAGAGCACCTTTACCTTAGTTAGCGCCAAAGGCACCAATTAGGAGTCCTCTCTCGGTCCCTCAAAAAAAAGGAGTCCTCTCTCAGTTTCCCATTTGAAAACCTTTTGAATTCTCAAAAAAAAAATGAAAGCATTTTGTTAATTTCGACGCTGACAACATCGTTAAGTATGCTACTTCATTCGTTTGCTGTGGAGATAATTCAGCAAATGGACTCTTATCTAGGACTAAAGTTGCATTGATTTCTCGATGCAACCAGCTGTCAATGGACTTTGCCGAAATATTGTTTAAACACTATCTCCAGAAAGCTAATCAAGTAGCAGATGAGTTAGCTAAGCATTCTTTTAGAGTTAGACCTTCGAGTTCTTGGGATGATGTAATCCCTAACTTTGTTTCTCATTTACTTGTAAACAACATGGTCATCGTATAAGGAATAAAGTCTATTTGCTGTTAAAAAAAAGTATGCACCACATATAATCTCAATGGCTTAAGAAATAAACAATTCTATCTCAAGTGCATGTGCACATTTTGGTTGAGTAATAGTAATACTTAGCGATGTTTCCTTCCCTCCATTCAAGTTTTGATAGTGAGCGCGTGGATTCACCTCAATAATAGGGAGCTCCAATATTTTATTCAACTGTGTCTATTTGGGTCTTCAAGGACAAAAACCATGGCCCAGCGCATGGACGCAGACATATTTTTTGTCCGTCACGCAAATTGAACCCAAGCAAATCCACAAATTTGGGCCGGATTTGCTTCCACACGAACGTGAGATGGACACGGCACGTGTCTGCTCGGTGCCTGGCTCAGGCCCATGCGTCGGCACCCAACCACCACCCGTTGGTCCTCTTTAATGCCACGCGTGCCGAAGGGCCCGCACGCCAGCCACCC